AGGGAGTGATTGGAGTGGTGAAGTGGTCGGTGGAGTGAGGCTACGGCTGTCACATCTCTGCCTGCATCGAGTGCAGAGATGAAAGACGCAGCACTGATTGATAGTTGGTGCACTGACGACACGTGTGGATGAGAGATGTGCACTGTGCAGAGAATCACCGTCGCCATGGGTGATTGGTGGTGGTGACGGGATGATATGAGGATTGAAAGGAGGATGTGTAGTGTACATGCACGACGATCTGTGTGAGTGTGGGATATGGGTAATTGTGAGATGTGTAATTGATGGATGTGTTTGTGTTGCGTGACAGACGGGCCCGGCTAGCTCAGTCGGTAGAGCATGAGACTCTTAATCTCAGGGTCGTGGGTTCGAGCCCCACGTCGGGCGTCCTCGTGTGTGTGCGTGTGCGGTGGAAGTCAGTGTCTGCTCATCGCGCACTTTTGAACGCAACCCTCTCTCTCTCACACACACACACACACACACTCATCGTCGCCGTGACCACACAGTTCCCTCTGACGACACACACTTACACATACACCCTCACAAATCAACACAAACACACCGACCATTACAATCAAACTCACACTGACACTCAAACTGATACTGACACTGACACTGACTCACATGCAATTTTGACTGACACCGATATGTAGGAGATTCACGTGGTGATTGATTGGCAACGATAGCTTGTGCTCGGAATATCGTTCAGTCAGTAATGCAGTATGAGTATCACCGTGTGCATTGTCCAGTGAGCTTATGTGACATGGAGAGTGGGAGTGGATAGGAGAATAGGAAGACGACGATTAGGAGAAGGATGGAGAATGGGAGGAGTGGAAGGCTTGAAGATGACTGAAATGACGTTGCATGATGATGATGATGATGATGATGATGATGTTGGTGTTTGTGGTGTGGGTGGTGTGTTGGTGAAGAGGAGGCTGAGGAGTATTGGATGAATGAGATGTGAGGTGTAAGGGGACGAATACAAGGAAATGGAGGTGGAATTTTCTAGTGTTCAGGCCACCTGCTGTCAATGAACTCTACCCTGATGGGTGACAAATGCAGCAGTGGTGCACTCGTAAATCGGACGACACTGATGGCACTGATTCAGTCATGTGACCAGTTGGTCAAGTAAACGGCTTACTCTGTGCACCCTACGAACCCACGACAGCCACCATACTCACGCTCGAAAACTCAAACCACAAGACACAGACTGACTCAGACTCACAGACACACGTGGACACGAATGAAGAGTGGAGAGTGACGTCTAACAAGAGGGAATATATACAAATACATTCATATATATAGAGAGAGATATAGATACAGACACACACACACACACACACAGGGTTATATATAACCACTTCTATGTCCATACACACATACATATATTGGTGGAGATTGAATTGTGTCTTCCAGTGTGTCGTCACACTGACTCGATGGCTTGTCACAGACAGGTGGCCATGGCACTGTGATGTCTGTGAGGGAGTGATTGGAGTGGTGAAGTGGTCGGTGGAGTGAGGCTACGGCTGTCACATCTCTGCCTGCATCGAGTGCAGAGATGAAAGACGCAGCACTGATTGATAGTTGGTGCACTGACGACACGTGTGGATGAGAGATGTGCACTGTGCAGAGAATCACCGTCGCCATGGGTGATTGGTGGTGGTGACGGGATGATATGAGGATTGAAAGGAGGATGTGTAGTGTACATGCACGACGATCTGTGTGAGTGTGGGATATGGGTAATTGTGAGATGTGTAATTGATGGATGTGTTTGTGTTGCGTGACAGACGGGCCCGGCTAGCTCAGTCGGTAGAGCATGAGACTCTTAATCTCAGGGTCGTGGGTTCGAGCCCCACGTCGGGCGTCCTCGTGTGTGTGCGTGTGCGGTGGAAGTCAGTGTCTGCTCATCGCGCACTTTTGAACGCAACCCTCTCTCTCTCTCACACACACACACACACACACACTCATCGTCGCCGTGACCACACAGTTCCCTCTGACGACACACACTTACACATACACCCTCACAAATCAACACAAACACACCGACCATTACAATCAAACTCACACTGACACTCAAACTGATACTGACACTGACACTGACTCACATGCAATTTTGACTGACACCGATATGTAGGAGATTCACGTGGTGATTGATTGGCAACGATAGCTTGTGCTCGGAATATCGTTCAGTCAGTAATGCAGTATGAGTATCACCGTGTGCATTGTCCAGTGAGCTTATGTGACATGGAGAGTGGGAGTGGATAGGAGAATAGGAAGACGACGATTAGGAGAAGGATGGAGAATGGGAGGAGTGGAAGGCTTGAAGATGACTGAAATGACGTTGCATGATGATGATGATGATGATGATGTTGGTGTTGGTGTTTGTGGTGTGGGTGGTGTGTTGGTGAAGAGGAGGCTGAGGAGTATTGGATGAATGAGATGTGAGGTGTAAGGGGACGAATACAAGGAAATGGAGGTGGAATTTTCTAGTGTTCAGGCCACCTGCTGTCAATGAACTCTACCCTGATGGGTGACAAATGCAGCAGTGGTGCACTCGTAAATCGGACGACACTGATGGCACTGATTCAGTCATGTGACCAGTTGGTCAAGTAAACGGCTTACTCTGTGCACCCTACGAACCCACGACAGCCACCATACTCACGCTCGAAAACTCAAACCACAAGACACAGACTGACTCAGACTCACAGACACACGTGGACACGAATGAAGAGTGGAGAGTGACGTCTAACAAGAGGGAATATATACAAATACATTCATATATATAGAGAGAGATATAGATACAGACACACACACACACACACACACAGGGTTATATATAACCACTTCTATGTCCATACACACATACATATATTGGTGGAGATTGAATTGTGTCTTCCAGTGTGTCGTCACACTGACTCGATGGCTTGTCACAGACAGGTGGCCATGGCACTGTGATGTCTGTGAGGGAGTGATTGGAGTGGTGAAGTGGTCGGTGGAGTGAGGCTACGGCTGTCACATCTCTGCCTGCATCGAGTGCAGAGATGAAAGACGCAGCACTGATTGATAGTTGGTGCACTGACGACACGTGTGGATGAGAGATGTGCACTGTGCAGAGAATCACCGTCGCCATGGGTGATTGGTGGTGGTGACGGGATGATATGAGGATTGAAAGGAGGATGTGTAGTGTACATGCACGACGATCTGTGTGAGTGTGGGATATGGGTAATTGTGAGATGTGTAATTGATGGATGTGTTTGTGTTGCGTGACAGACGGGCCCGGCTAGCTCAGTCGGTAGAGCATGAGACTCTTAATCTCAGGGTCGTGGGTTCGAGCCCCACGTCGGGCGTCCTCGTGTGTGTGCGTGTGCGGTGGAAGTCAGTGTCTGCTCATCGCGCACTTTTGAACGCAACCCTCTCTCTCTCTCACACACACACACACACACACACTCATCGTCGCCGTGACCACACAGTTCCCTCTGACGACACACACTTACACATACACCCTCACAAATCAACACAAACACACCGACCATTACAATCAAACTCACACTGACACTCAAACTGATACTGACACTGACACTGACTCACATGCAATTTTGACTGACACCGATATGTAGGAGATTCACGTGGTGATTGATTGGCAACGATAGCTTGTGCTCGGAATATCGTTCAGTCAGTAATGCAGTATGAGTATCACCGTGTGCATTGTCCAGTGAGCTTATGTGACATGGAGAGTGGGAGTGGATAGGAGAATAGGAAGACGACGATTAGGAGAAGGATGGAGAATGGGAGGAGTGGAAGGCTTGAAGATGACTGAAATGACGTTGCATGATGATGATGATGATGATGTTGGTGTTTGTGGTGTGGGTGGTGTGTTGGTGAAGAGGAGGCTGAGGAGTATTGGATGAATGAGATGTGAGGTGTAAGGGGACGAATACAAGGAAATGGAGGTGGAATTTTCTAGTGTTCAGGCCACCTGCTGTCAATGAACTCTACCCTGATGGGTGACAAATGCAGCAGTGGTGCACTCGTAAATCGGACGACACTGATGGCACTGATTCAGTCATGTGACCAGTTGATCAAGTAAACGGCTTACTCTGTGCACCCTACGAACCCACGACAGCCACCATACTCACGCTCGAAAACTCAAACCACAAGACACAGACTGACTCAGACTCACAGACACACGTGGTCACGAAGGAAGTGTGGGGAATGATGTCTAGGAAGAGAAAATATATGCGAATACGTTCAGATATATATACAGTGTTGATTATTATTGACTGGATTGGTGAATCGAACGCAGGTGATTTGTGCAGTATGTTTTTGTGGAATTTTGAATGGGGGTATATATGGTGTTTAAAGACATTATTTCTATGTGAGTACCGAGGAAATGTTTTGAGATGTCTGTAATATTGTGGTTGAGGGTGGGATGATTTTTGTCAGTATGTGTGTTATTTGTTTTCAATTCAGGTATTATATCTGTAGTAGATGAAATATCATATGTTTTGCTGTAATTTGTGTGATGGTTTTGTTTTATAGTTTTTAGCTTCACAATTAGAATGAGGTGGCCCTATCCTCTTAGTGTGTGGTTGGTCTGGATTTTGGTGCAGATTTCGTTGTCTTTGTGATGTTGATGAGAATGTAGAAGAAAAGTATAGTCACTGCAAATTAAATTATATATTTTAGTTAAGTGGAAATAGAAATTTTAAATTCTTAATACTAGTACAGAAAATTCAATGCTACATTAAGCAGTAATATTTGTGCTATTAGAATTTCAAGAAATCTATGTGTTTGCTTCTTCGAAGTCTGGAGAGTAAATAAAATTTGTTCGTCAAGATCCCTAATAAACAATTTTGTAAGGGGACAATATGAAGATATGAGAAGATACTCCGTACACTGAAAGAGTACAAATGCTTTGAAACATTTTATGCAAGGGACCCTAGATGTATTGGAGAAGTAATAGGTGTCGATAATAGAAAAAAAATGAAGCATGAAAGACAGCATCAATTCGGTTTGACTGAATTCAAGTCTGATTCTTTGCCTAGTGGATCAATCACCCATAATCGGTTTAATCCAATGGAATTGGAAATATCACTTGGAATTTCTAAAGACGCTGTTGCTGGATGCACTGCACTAGGCGATGATTTAGGACCACGAACCAGATCTAAACGTCTCAGAATCTGTAAAGATCTATCTTCATTAAATGACAAATCAAATAAAGGTCCAGAACCACCACTGAAACGTGAGTCTTGTGCATCGTTGACAATTGGCAAACCAATAGATGGTGGTAATGAAACATGAGATTGAGGTGAAAGCCTCTTTGCGATCCAAGATTCAGCACTTAAACCCAATTGCATGGGATTCAGAGGAGTATTACCTTGGAAAGTGAAACAGAAAGATTTACAATGCATGCAGTCATTGATAAAACTGATAATGCAATATTTTGTTTAATACTTAAAAGTTTTAATTCCTTACGTGTTTGAAAATTCGAAGAAATCCCCATTTAAAAAGCAGAAGGATTGAGTGAAGAAATATTTACTTTTCAATTAGATCCTGACCTCTGGCTCTACTCTACTATGTATAACATTTTTATTACAATATACAACAATTTAGCAATCAAGTGGCGATATGTTTGTTAACAATATATGGTTAGTATCAACAACCTCGCTTAGTTTATTAGCTCTCTAGTATTCTAGCCAGCCCCCAAATCCGGTTAAAGAGGGAGGTTGGTGCGTGTGGCTAGCGTCCCTACCCTAGACAACCAATTAAACTCCTACAGAAACTTCCACTTACTCTTCACTGGAATCTGAGAGACGAAATGATGCGGGCTGGTGAAAGCCTTCGTGAAGCCAGTCAGCCGAAGTGTTTTCTTTCGATGTAAGCAAAAATAAGGATGGGGACGTGGAAGGTACATACAATATACGAGACTGTTTACGTAGCCAACGAAATGCGAAGATATGGCACAGAAGTGCTGGGTATCTGAGAAAGCAGATGGAATGGATGTGGACTGTCGAATTGTCAAATGGAGAGTCAGTAATCTACTTCGGTTACTCAGATGACAACCACGGGCACAGAGAGGTACTGAGTGGCTATCGTGAAGTCATCAGTGGTGGACAAAGACCATTAATGCAATGGGGACCAATTTCATCCCACAGGATCATGTCAGTAAGATTCAACTCAAAAGGAAGGAAGGTTAAAATTATCCAATGATACGCACTAGGCTACAAACAAGACGGAATGAGAGAAGGAAGATTTTTACAGACAACTACAAACTGTAATGGACATAACATCATGGGTCTAGAGGGTCTGGGCGAAATGACAATGGAGAACTCTTCGCAGACTTCCGCGCCTTCAATGATTTGGTGATCGGAGGCAACGTGTACGAGCACAAGGATATACACAAACAACATGGATTTCGCCTGACACACACACCACAAACCAGAATGATTTCATCTCAATCTTAAGGGAGTGGAGGCGCAGCCGGCCTGCTTGACACAAAGTCGAGAAGGGCGCAAATGTGGGCTCACACCATCATCTAGTTCCAGGAATCTTCAAAGTGAAGCTGAAATCCTTCAGAACAACTGGTGACAAGCCACAACTCATGTTTGACATACAAAAACTGAAGGACAAAAATACAAGTGATACCTTCACTACATATCAGATCAGAGGAAAGTCCGAGACAATACGTGTCATCACCAAGAAGAGAATTGGAACTTTCTGAGGGTGACGTTCATGAAAATGTGTACAAATGTTCTAGGAAGTAGAGATACTAAATGAGATCAAGCTACTGAAGTCCAATCGGGAAGGCAGCAGGGCCAGACGGAATTCCTCCTGAAACACTGAAAACGGACATAGAAACCCCAGCAGATGTGCTCATGCAAAGGGTTTGGAAGGAATGAAAGGTGCCTACCGGTTGGAAGAAAGCCTGGCTACCTTTTCAAGCTGCCAAAGAAGGGCGACCAACGCCTCACTCTGCACCAACTGGCGTGGAATCATGCTAAGTCACATCATACTGAAGAGAATAAAGGAACTCCGCCTGCCCGGAACAAGTTGGTTTCAGGAAAGGCAAATCATGTGCTGATCAAATTGGAACTCTAAGCATAGTCATCGAACAAAGCATAAGTGACAGTCAAACATCTACTTTAGCTTCATCGACTAAGAGATGGACTTCTACAGCGTTGATAGAGAAGTAATTCGGAAACTGCTTCAACTGTACACGGTGCCCCGAAATCATGATCAACCTCATTAAACAATGCTACGTGCCAGCTGGTCCACAATGGAAAGCTCAGTGAGGCATTCGAAGTCAATACAGGAGTAAGACAAGGCCGCCTATTATCACCGATAACATTTTTTATTGTAGTGGAAATGATTATGCAGAAGACTGTGTGGGGTGGGTGAAAAGAGAGGAATACGTTGGACCAACAAGAAGACTCTAGATGATCAGGATTTCGCGTGTGGATGGTTTGTGTTTAATGTCACACAAACTCGAAGAGTTACGGGCGAAAACCGACAAACTGGCTGAAGAGGCGGGCAGAGGAGACAGGACTCCAGATGAACATCGAGAAGACGGAAGTGATGAAGATAACCAACCAACTGCAGCAACAACCAGCACTGATCACCACTAACGAGAGAGATTTGATAGAGGTTACTTACTGCCTCCACTTATCTAGGAAGCATTGTTTCAACCACAGGTGGAACGGACGATGTTAACAGCCTAAAACGTTCATACTGTAACAATGGAAGACGAAAAACCTAGTAAAGAAATCTTTATTTGCAATGAGGTATCTCTATATAGCTAAATTATGTACACCTTATCTCCAACCCACCATTTACACAGATCTTCCCTGTTATGTTACTTCCGATCTTCATATTGTGTCTCCTTGTGTTCCTTTCATGTCTCCCATATATCTCCACAACGATGTATCATTAGCACTCTCTCTCTCTCTGACATCAAATCTATCTCCCTGCCATACGATGTTTTATTCCGATGGACGTCTATTTATACAATACAGATAAATCTTATCAGCAACACACGCCACAATACCAACTACTCCATTTATACTGGAAGAGAATTGTTGAATGAAAAATGTAAGCATACAGGTAGTGGATCCGCTTTTGTAGTTGGGAAACAATACTACCATATACAGGTGATTTATCTCGACCCAGGAACATAGTTTTCCGTTTAGGGGAAGAAAAATTGAGTTAATAGTTTGGTCTATATGGAAATTATTTGTCTAAATATATACTACTACTAATTTGACAGTAGCGAAACTCCCTTTACAAGTGTAATGACGCTTCTGACTCCACGATTCATATGATGACAATTTAGTCTCTCTAAATGGTTTCACTATGTACAGACAAAACCAGTGCAGTTCAAGGAAAAATCGAGGTTGTGATGTCACCACTTTTATTGATTCTCAGTGTCCTGTTGCCAACAATGTCTGCTTTAAATTCTCAAATGATAATATTGACTGTATGACTGTTAAATGTGAACCTAAACATCTGTCTAAATACAATTTTATTTTTATCACGAACATTTATGCCACACCTTGTTGTAGTCCCCTAGAACTATCCATGTTTGCTGATTAATTCAGTGTTTTTGCTGCCACCTCTTCTGACTGCAGTTTTCTTACACTGCTAAGTCATGAAAATGTCGTTAACTTTCCTACTCGACTGGATAATTCGCTTGATCTTGTACTTTTGATTTTTTTGATTTACAGCTTGATTCCACACTGTATTTTCGGTACAAGTATGGAATTTTCAGCATGGATATCGGTAGCCCAAATTTCGCAGGCCGACCATGGATATCAGGTGTGCGTCGGTGCGGGCTCGAACCCCGGACCATGTGCATGGTCGGCGAGAGTCCTAACCACTTATAAATGACTCCGGAATATACGAAACTCGTAAAAGAGCCCCGTTCTTTAACTCCGATCATTGTATTGTAAGGGTTTTACCCAAAATCCGTGGAGAATTACACAAGAAAGCATTCTCATACCTGTACAAGAAAATTGTGTACAAATGTTACTCTAAGGACAATGCTCAGAATCTTAGAAGGATGCTCTAAGAAACAAGGTGGGATTTGTTCAATGAAAACTCTCCTGATGACACTACCTCAAATTCTGTCTCAACATCTGTTGGACCCAGAGAAACGCTTTTCATCAGATTTGATCGTTTCTCCTCCTCCCAACTTAAAAAGCTTCTCGGGGGAAAGGAAAAGTTATACAAAATGAAGGACAACATTGGTGGGAAAAGAATTAACATTTTAATCAACTCTGAAATGCAGAGGTTGAATCCAATATATAACCAGAAGTCCATATCCTGTAAAATCGCCTCTAATATATGGAAACTTTCCAAAGAAATTACTGGTGGTAAGCGGACAAACAGTATTCCTTGTTCATTTGACGTGCGTACCTTGTACAAGTCTTTCATACATTCTCTCACAAATGCGAGGCCTTCTAGTGTCACAAGTATTAATTAAAGCTGCTTTTCTGCTCTCAACACAAATGACGTTCTGAAATGCCTCCAGTCGCTGAACCCTTCTCAAAACCTAGGTCCAGATAGTGTGCCTAGCGTTATTCTCAGAAAGTGTGCAGATATCCTATGTTTTCCTCTCACTGATGTATTCAATGAATCTTTTCCATAAATGTTGTGCCAGCAGTTTAGAAAGTCATTAAAATTGTACCTATAACAAAGTCGTCTACTGGAACATGTGTCAAACTTAGACCTGTTGCTATAACCTCTCCTTTCTTGAACAATATGGGAAAGTTGCCTTTACTTAATCTTGAAACTTCCCTTAAACCCTTCAACGATTCAAAACAATTTGCCTACAAACATAGTAGAAGTACTTTGGATGCAGCTGCAGTCTTGAAATGTAAAATCATCTCTAGTTTAGACGAAGGGGCTAAATTTGTTCGTTGCGCCTTCCCTAGATTACACATCTGCTTTCGGCTCAGTACCTAGGGATATTTTGTCAAATAAGCTTGCTGAAATTCAAACTGAGTGTTGGGTTGTCAAATGGCTGCATTCTTATTTCTCAGGAAGAAAGCAGTAAACTGTTTGTAAGGGGAAGTCGTCCGCTTTATTGCTTACTGAGGCTGGCGTAGCTCAAGGTTCTGTTCTCTCTCCTTTTCTGTTTCCTTTCCTCTTGCATAACTTGCCTCACTCTGATGATGAAATGAACTTTGTTAAGCATGTGGACGGTCTAACTGTTTCAATACCTGTTAACCCCCAGCTAGATTATACTAAGATGAACAGCTTTCTATCAGGAGTCGGAAATGGTCTTAAACTGAATCCTTCCAAATGTCACACTGTTAATTTCAGTTTTCGATGTAAAAGAAAGTTAAATAAGGCTGTTCCTTCCTATGACCGTTGCAAAAT